GTCATTTAAGGAATGAGGCAATTTAGTGTATCCTCTTCTGTCTTCCTGACTCAGCCTTTCATTTCCAGGGAACTCCGTGTTCCAGATGCAGGCACTGCTGCCTCTGTCTCTCTCCCTCCAGAGGTTTTTTGTTTGTTTTTGTAATATCCCCAGAGGAAAATCACAATACACTAAATATTTAAGTTATCACTATGGTTTGGTATTTGATCATTTAATTATCAAAATGAAGATATTAAAGTAATTTGAGATCCATCTCTATTACAGAACGCATTTGCATTTAATTAGAAAAAAGTCTAAAATCCAAACAAGCCAGTTGCTATCAAGTTGATTCCTACTCAGAGCGACTGTATAGGATAGAGCAGAAGTGGCCCGTAGGGTTTCCAAGGCTGTGGCTTTTAAGGAAGCAACCTCCCAGCCCTTTCCCCAGTGGGGTAGTTGTGCCATCAAGCCACTGGCCCTTCAGTTAGCAGTTCAGCATTTAACTCCTGTGCCAGCAGTCAGGGAGTTATACAAAATCCAAGTACACAGCCATTTTAGATATACTAAAAACCACAACTAACTTTGCTAAACTAGGAAACTAATAACAAACAAGTATCTGGTTGAAAGGGAACAATAAGGAAAATACTAAAGTAATAACAAGGTAGAAACCAAACCTGAGAAGTTTTCTACAACACTAAACAAAAGAAATGTATGCTATCTCTTAAAGTGTGTCTAAATGCCAAACCCACATCATGCAAAATGGAAGGAGAGAAAAGTGCTGACTTTGAGAGAGTACAACCCCGAACACCGTCAAACTTCACCACCTGACTTCTCTTTTTACCGCACCCTAGTTTGTCTTGATCTAAAACCTAATCCTTAGGCTCATTTTCTATCCAACAATATGTGTTAGTGCCACATCTCTACACCCTAAGTTCAATGTAGAAAAAGGCAAGTCAGAAGAGTGAAACTGCAAATATCCTGACTCCTCTATCCCCAAGAAATTATCACCGAGATAAAAGTTTTCACCTCTCACTGTAAATAAAAACTTCAAGTTGACACATCTATCTCCTACCAGGCTTTCTCACAGCTTTACAAAGGCTCTGGTCAATGCTGAAATGTGAACTGAAGTCTTCAATGAGCTGCACAGCTCCCATCAGGTTGCACGGTTGGAACAAGGTCTGACACTTGGGTTTGTACTGATGGTGAAAGGTAACAGAGTTTTGAGCAAATATTTCCAATTCTTTCTGGGGAAAAACAAGACAAAAAGAACACAATTTTAGCAGTCCATAGCCTATGAGTGAGAAACACTCCTTCCTCTTACTGAAAAAAATAAGTAAAAATATCATAAAGTATTTCACAATGAAGTCTGCTCTTTTGCAGAGTCCTCAGATATTCAGAGATTGATTGTCATGCACCTATTTATGTACATATGTAAACACACATATATACATATATAATTTGTTTTTCTTAAACAATCCACACAGAGAAATATAAACCAATTCAACAATTCCTGTTTATATCTTCCAGTAACACTGATTACACCGAGTTGTACAGCCATCCTCTTACTCTATTTTTCTTTTTTCATCTTCCTTTTATAAGTTGTTCCTCCTCATTAACATAAAATTTACTGTTCTTGAAAATTCTTATCTAGGTAGATTCCTTCATTATCATCTTCTTCCTCTCCTCCTACTTTATCATTCATATCAAAAACCAACCTGTACTGTACTGTACCAAGTAAAATATCATCTTTTATGATCTGTCCTAATTCACTGTACCTGCACCAGAATGGTCAGTGAGCCAAGTGAAGCAGCTCTCTGGTTCTGCATGCTCTCTTCTCCTGTTCGCTCTACTTTGTGTTTGATTTAAATGTTTTGTCAGATCTTTTCTAGATTTCCATTTGAGTTGCTGTTGTCAATTTGATCCCATATAAACAGTTTCTAAAACAACAAAAGTTCAAGGTACACATTTTTTTAATGAAGCTAAACTATACTTTTGTTTTCATATGATTGCAGGAGATATATTTAGTGTATTCGATGTTTTAAAATGTTCTGAGTCTAGTTTCTTTTTTTTTTTTGAAGATAGTATTATTTTTATTATCCTCACAAATAGAGAAGGAAGTCACCAAGAAAATAAAAAAATTCACCCTTCACTGAACCACACACATGGAAATTTAATGAGATTGCAAGTTAAGGCTTCTCTTGTGTTTTCAGTTCTAAACCTGGAGTTAGAGAAAATGTTCAGTTAGTTGTCAGTAATTACAGACCACATCTAGGTTCCTTTATAAAGGAATCTGGGAATCTCAAACTTGCATTCCTGCATGATAACCACTGCTGGTGCAGAGAAGCAACTCTGCCCTTTAAGGGATGTGCCCCTCCAGTTTATCACAGTTCTTACCTGGCCCATTTCACTCAGATTTATTATTTCCTGGCTCTAGAAACCATTTGAGTTTGCAACCTTGTGTACACTACCATCATTAAGGGTCTTAATCTATAGAAGTAGGAAGTACCACCTTTAACAAGTGTTGACTGCATTTTATGGAGGTGGAAATTATTGTCCTTAACCTGGATACTAAGTACATATAGGCTCATTCTCAGGATTCCTTTCTGCTGCTATCACAGACAGAAATCATTTCAGAGTTTAAGGAGTGGGGTCACAAAGGGCCAGACTAGGTGCCTCAGCCTCCTACTAGCTACAAACCATATGACAAGGAAAAGATATGTGAAGTTTCCCAGTAACTTCAACTGTTAATATCAGAGTCTCAAGGAAGGAAGAATACACTTTAAGGTAGTTAATGGAAAGCAGAGATAATCATCTTAGTCCAATTCAACTCTAATTTAGTTTGTTCTGAGTCTAGTTTCAAGAGTTCAGCCAGCCTTCATCACTCCAAAAAATCCTCATTCCATTAAGATTGAAATTCTGTTCTGTTTTTCCTGTCTTCTAATCAGGTTTCTTCATTCTTGTTCTATTCTCAGACTGAATGTTGTTCAGTCTTCATGTATACATTTAGTTTTACTGTAACTAATCAACTTGTATACTCTTAATGTTTAAAACTGAGTATCATCTTTTCTTTCCAATGGAAAAAACCACAAAATTTTACAAGAAAAAGGAAGAAAACTGAAATTCTGTTGTTGTTATGTGCCATTCGGTCACTTGGGACTCACACAAACCAATGCATGATAGCTCTGAACCTGTCCTATCCTGAACCAATCTCATTGTCTCTGACACATCTACCCCATTCCCAGTTACTGTGTCAATCCATCTCCTCCAGGCTCCTTGCCTCTTGTTCTGTTCCTCTATCCTTCAGAGCATGATGTCCTTCTCTAAGGCTGGTTCCTCAGGGAATACATGTTCAAAATATTTCAGATGTAGCTTTAAACTCTTTGTTTCTAAGAAGCAACTTGATTTCACCCTCTCCAGGATAGATCTGTTTTTTTCTTGTCAGTCCATGGTATGTTCAACACTCTTCTCCAGCACCACAACTCAAAGGCATCAATTCTTTTGTCATCCTTAGTCACTGTACAGCTCTGATGCATAACAAGTAACTGTGAAGACTATGGACGGAATCAGGTGCATTTTAGTCTCTACATTGACACTGTTGCTCTTTTGCACTGCGGAGTGTCCCCTGATAGTAGGATTTCCCTAATGCAATTCGTCTTCTGATTTCCTGGCTACTGGTGCCAAGAGTTTTGATTATGGAGCTAAGCAAGTCGAAACTGTTAACAACTTCAATCTCTTCTCCATCTATTATGTGCTGCCAACTGGCCCAGTGGTGAGAATCTTTATCTTCTTGAGAGAATGTCAATTCCAAATAAGATTCTGCACGTTCTGCTAATTCTCACATCAAGTGGCATGGCTCAAGTCATCATTAGAAGAGAATTTTATTTTAATGTCATCTTGAGGGATAAAATAAGTGTCATCTTGAACCACAAGGATATCCATGAAACATCACAATTAAACATGCCGAAGAAAAAGCTATGCTGCCCAAAATGCCTACTTCACATCTCAAACCCACCCTTGGCTGACATTCTATAACCCAAAGTTTTTCTTCTATTTTAAACAAGATCAAGCAGACAGACATATGTTGGTAAATGCTACCTATCCATATTCAAAAAGAGACACAGTATATTCTTTGAGCCCAAGATGGAAAGAAAGGGAGAAAAGCTAGAATCCTGTGCACTACTACATAGGGGCCTAACACACTCCAGCTTCCAGCAGAGTAAAGAGAGAAGGTACATGAATTGGTGCTGTCTTGATTCCACAATTTTTGTAGATACAAGAAGGGACAAAAATAACCTGGAACAGAACGCAGTAGAGGTTCATTTCCCACTGTATTCTGCTCAAAGTTATTTTTTCAAAAATTAAGAGAACAAGGGTGTAAAAGGAGAGAAAAGATACTTCAAGGACCAGACAACTGAGCACAATAAGGGGGGGAGGGATCCAGACAAGACTGTAACTTGCTCCTAGGGACTGTAGAACATTAAAAATGCTGGCAGTCCATCAGTGTTCTTAGTCATCTTTTCCTTCATCTCCCCCTTCTTCCTCTCCTTCATCAATATCCTCCAAACCTTTTTCATCATCATCATCATCATCATCTTCCTCTCCTCTTTCTTTATCATTCATATTGGGAACCAAACAGTACTGTAAAATATCTGGCCAAATACTACCTTTTATGACCTGTCCTAATTCATCTGCACCTGAATCAGAACGGTCAGTGAACCAAGTGAAGCAGCTCTCTAATTTTTTTAATATTTAAATTTTTTATTATTATTATTTTGTGTGTACCGTCAAATCGGATCTGACTGGTACAGGAGGAGATTGTCCCTCCTTCTCCAGCAAAGAATCTGGTGGATTCAAACAGCTCAGCTCTGGGATTGCAGTGCAGCTTCTTGCCACTAGGCCACCAGACCTCGCCACCTCTCTAGTTTTTCACTCTGTCTTCTTCCGCTGGCTTTATTCTACATTTTTAGTTGAGCATTTTGTCAAGTTTTTCTAGATTTCCATGTGATTTCAGATGATTCTGAGGATGGATCATCACTGTCATTCAAATAAAATTCTTTGGAGAGTATGTTCTTTTCAATATAAGGACTTTCATCAAAATAAAAATCTATTCTGGACAGAAGGCAGCGAGGCTCGCCTATGATGGTGAAGCTGGATGAGGCAGATGAAGCGGTATTGCAGAGCCCTATGGCAGCCGAACAGCAGAAAGCACAGTTCATGGCACAGGTGCATCATTTCACGGAACTGTGCTGAGATAAGGTGTAGAAAAGCTGCTTCAAGACTCTTGCACTGAAAATTGCCTCTCCTGCTGTTGTGGACTGCTTCATGGAAACCACCCTTGCCAGCACCAGTCAGTTTGCCTAGATTGTACAGAAAGGAGAGCAATGGGCCATCTGCTGGGAACATAACAGAAGCACAAAAGACTTGTTATTAAAATGTCAACAGAGTATGGATGTCATACCACTGTTGAGTAAACATCAGGCGGTTACCAAGCCTTTTGGTGCTAAAAAGTAATAGATGAAATGTGTAAAAAACAAAGGTCAAATTTATTTGAAATTCAGAAATTCCAGATTGTACACTATATAAATGTGAATTCTAAAAAAAAAAAATATATTCTAGTAACTTAGTATCTTCAAATTCTCTCGCTTCAACTCTGGTCAGATAAATGCAGCACCTCTTCATCCTCCTCCCTGAGCAATGAAGACACTTGCGGATGGTTGACAAATACTGTTACTCAAAAATTTGGGATTCTGGCAATCAATTCTTACCTCTTCTCAAAGATCGGTTGGTGGAGTTACATTTCTGTTCTACTTTCAAAATAACACTGGCTTGTTCATCAAGTCTATTTCATCAGTATGTTCAATTAATTGTTTCCTTCTATTCTTTTTCTCTGCTGTTATTTTTTCTGTTTGCTTAGGTTTTAGGTTTGTTTGGGGTTTTTTTCCCCTCTCTCTATATTGTTCTTTTTCTCCCTTTGGGAAGTTCATAGAGGCCCATGTTTCCTGCAGCCAACGTTTTTTCATTTGTGGCAAGAGTGAAGACTGGCATTTCAGGGCCATACTGCAAGTAAAGTCCAAGAACCAGAAAAATTAAATATGTGCCTGGAAAATGTTTCTTCCTCACTCTTTTGGATGGATGGTCTAGCTCCTTAGCTAGACTCAATGTGCTCAAGAATAAGGGCTTTTTTCCCCCTTCCACGTCTTTTAGATTCCCTGAATAATAAATAGAACAAGGTATACTTCAAGATCCTCTGAACAAAATAGGAGGTGAATATGCACTGTTGACTACTAAGGAATCTTGAAGTTACTACTCAACTCCAAAAAGACTTACCCAAGAAGCATGGGATATTACATGTTATAAAATCTGGAGCTCATTTTTAAATTTCATAATTAAAAATACTCCAAAATACTTCAAAATGTCACGAGCAAAATGAATTCTTTATACAAAACACTGGCATTAAGCTTAATGAATAAACACAAAGTTCAACATCTATAGTAAGAATAATAGTACCAAATATTTAAAAAGTCAGAGTGGCCCTAAAAATGGAAACAGAGGATCTAATTTTTAAAAAGTAAAAGGGATAGTTAGATACATTCTCTGCTTTTTTCACTTGAGTAGGTTATTGTGTGCCAACTAGTTTGAAATGACACATAGCTAACCCTCCAACAGGTTTTCAGAGGCAGTAAATAGCACGGAAGGAGACTGTCCATCCTTCTCCTCTGGAACAAATGGTGAATTTTAACTACATGCCTTTGGGATTACAGTGTAGCTTCTTACTACTAGGACACCAGAGCTTCCTTTCACTGGAATAAATAATTTATTGAGGTTGTTAAAAATTACAGCTTGCACAGTCCACCATCAACACTCTTGGCACCAGCAGTCAAGAAATCAAAAGATGAACTGCACTGGGAAAATCTGCTGTCAGAGACCTCTCCAAAGCACTAAGAAGCAATGATGTCAGTCTAGAGAACAAGGTGCACATGATCCAGGTTATAGTCTTCAGAATTATTTGCTACGCATGACTAAGGATGAGAGAAAAAGAATTGATGCCTTTGAGTTGTGGTACTGCAAAAGAGTCCTGAACATAACATGGACCACCAAGAAAATAAGTAAGTCTGTCTTGGAGAGAGTGAAACCAAGTTTCTCCTTGGAGGCTAGGATTTTGAAGCTCTGTCTCATATGTTTTGGGCACATGGCCAGGAGGGACAGGTCCTTGGAAAAGAACATCATGCTCGGAAGGGTGGAGGGACAGCAGAGGAGAGGAAGACCCTTGATGAGATGGATTGATACAGTAACTGGGGCAATGGGGGTAGGTGTGTCACAGTCAGTGAGATTGGCTCAGGATAGGGCAGGCTTCAGAGAGGCTATACATAGGGTCACTATGAGTTGCAGGTGACTAGATGGCCCATAACAACAAAAATAACAACATTCTATTAGAAAATATAGGAAGTCACAGAAAAAAAGTAGACATAGCTTGCATATACGTCCAGGAGGAAAGAATAAATGTATAATATCATGGGTAACTATGAGAAGTGATTGCCAAGCTATAATTTCATACCCAAGTCTTTAGAATTAGTAACATTTAGATTCTTACAAGAAACACTCTTGTGGTACTGGCCTCCGAACTAAGATTAGGGTTGCAGCTGGCTAGAAGGTGGACTTGCGTCAAGAGTTGAACATGCTGGAAAGGGAGAGACAGTAATACAGTGATTTGTTACAATATCATGATTTCAGAAATTCAGATAAAAAATGTCTGCAACTTTATCACATGTTCTGCTTTCTGGAGAAACTGTAAGAATATTGCACAATAACTTAACAGGAATTTCACAGATAGGTTCCCCTGAGCAAAATAATGAAATCAGAGGAAAGGTAACATCTAACTAAGGAGGCAGAGATTATACAGAAGAAAATACTACTTTTCCCAGTAAAAGAGAAAAACTTTCAGAATGGGTAACTAAGAAGTATCTGAAACCTATTATTCTCAATACTATCAGAGTCACATGTATTCTCACCTGACTCACAAGACATGACATAATGACCTCTAAAAGGTCCCAATTGATGTGAAAATCCTTTGGTTCATGGTTCTAATAGTTATTAAAACATATGTTGTTGTTATGTGCCATCGAGTTGCTTGCAACTCATAGCGACCCTATGAACAACAGCCCTAAACCCTGCTCTATCCTGTGCCAATCGCACTGCCTTCGACACACCCATCCCGATTACCCCAGTCACTGAATCAATCCACCTCATAGAGGGTCTTCCCCTCTTGCACCATCCCTCCACCCTCTCAAGCATGATGTCCCTCTCCAAGGATCTGTCCCTCCTTACATGTCCAAAATATGTCAGAGGAAATATGTCAGACTCCTCTAAGGAGCAGTCGGTTTAACCCTCTTTAGGATGAATCTGTTTGTTTTCTTGTCAGTCCATGGTACATTCAATACTCTTCTCCAGCACCACGGCTCAAAGGCATCAATTCTCCTTCTATCCTCCCTAGTCATCGTCCAACTCTCTGATGCATTAACAAGCAATTGCAAAGAGCATGGCCTGTATCAGACACACCTTAGTCTCCAGAGTGACACCACTGCTCTTCAATTAAAACATATACCTTACATTTTTTTTTTCAAACATCTGGAATGTTACTCATTTTAGTCTCAGAATCAGGCTATGCAGTGATTCAATATTTTTGTTACCAAGAGTCTCACCTGTTGCATCTGCTGTTGGAGTCTCTTCCTCTGTTCTAGATCTAGAATAAGAGTCTTAGGAACTTTTTGACTCCTGGGCTTAACAGGCTCTACATCCTGCTGATGTTTGCCTGAAGATTTCTTCATCTTCAATTGCTCAAGTAGTTCTTTTACTGTACGATGCTGCTCATTTATCAATTTGGGAAATGGCTCTTCAAACCTACTCACAACAGGGAAATGAGTGAACATGAACATTCTCTTGGTTCACAACACATTCACTTCTGCTAATGGCAAAAGACCTAAATAAACTTCATCAACTATTGATACCCAAATTCTGCTATAGCTAGCACTTGAACTTTCAGTCTGATCCAAATCTTTTCTTGAAGTTAATAAACTCAAATAGAATTGTTCTGAATTAGCAACCCCTCCCTATTCTACAGTCATTCCAATAATCAGTATGTAAATAGAGAGAAAATTAAATATCTAGGAAAAGAGCAATATACAGATAAGAAATAGCAACAGAACTAGCAGGAATTTCTCATTCTTACATCATACTAATATCCACATTAGCCAGGGACTTGTCCTTAACCTTGCTATAAAAACTTCTGAAAGTATTTGTTCTTTATCTGTTACTCTCACCCCAAATCTAGTTTCATCTATCTCCTTACTCATTAAGTCTGCTCTACCTTTATTTATTAAAAATTCAAAGATATTTCAGCATGAAGCAAAAAGGAGGAATACAAAAACTAAATTACATAGTAATTTAGACAAATAGAAGTACTCAGAAATGCAAATATTTTCTTACTACTTTCCATGAAAATATTATCTTTTGGCCCTGTGACTCCCCCAAACTTCTTGATCCTATCCTTCCTGGTCTGCCACCCAAAAGAGAACTTTTTAAGGCTGACACAAAAATCCAAATTCCTGAAATGCTAGCCCAAAGGTAAAGGGAGTTCTGGTGGCCCAGTGATAAAAAGCTGTGCTATAATCCCAAAGGCACACAGGTCAAATCTACCAGCTTCTCTGTGGAAGAAGGATGGGCAATGCCCTCGTGTATGAATTATTGCCTCTGAAAACCCACTGGCAGGTCAGTTATGAGTAGGTCCCAACTCAACTGCACAGAACAACAACAACAACATAAAGGCAGACATATGTTGATAATCTAAGCAATCAGGCTAGAGCATGCTCAAGATGGATGACCTGTATTGCATCTAGCAATACTCAGTCAATGCCAACTCACTGAAATCCTCCAATGCTTCTCCAAGGCTATAATTTTTTGTTTATTCAAACAAGAGGAAACTGTTTCATCCTTCTTCCAAAGAGCAGGTGAGTTCAAACTAATGGCATTTTACTTTGCAGACAAACTCTTAACCTACTGTGACACCAGAAATCAGTGCAGTGCTTCATGTGTTAGGCAGCTAATCAAAAGGTGAGCAGTTTGAGTGCACCAGCTGCTCCACAGACGTAAGATAAGCAATATCCTGTAAAGATTTTTAAACCTGATGAAAGTTTGCCATGACTTGGAATCTCTTCAATAGCAATGGGTTTCTTAAACTGTAGCAACAGTGAAGTGGCAGCGACATTTCTCAATACCACAATGGGGATAAAAATTCTATTTCAATCTATTTACTATAGTAGAGGCAAATACAGAGTAAAAATTTAAGATATAAAAAGATTTTTCAGGAGCACTCAACATGTGTGACTTCACCAAGGACCAGACTGTAGATTTTAAGGAAGGAAGCTTCCAGCTGCTTGACCGACAGGTGATGGAAATATCCTGTACAGGCAATGTGGGGACATGAGGAAAGCCCTGGAACAGAACACCAACGCTGAGGTGCTCAAGGTCCTGGGAAACCCTAAGAGTGAGGAGATGAATATGAAGGTGCTGGATTTGGAGCACTTCCTGCCCATACTGTAGACTGTGGCCAGGAACAAGGATCAGAACACCCACGAGGACTATGCTGAAGGCCTCTGGGAGTTTGACAAGGAAGGGAACAGCCCTGTCATGGGTGCTGATATCCAGCATGTCCTTGTCACACTGGGTGAAAAGATAACAGAGGAAGAAGTAAAGATGCTGGTGGCAGAGCAGGTGGACATCAGTGATTGTATCAACTATGAAGAACTCATCTGTGTGGTGCTGAACGGCTGAGGGAAGCCCTTCCTGTGCCCTCAGATTCCTGTTCCTTTTCCTGTGTGAGTCAGTATGGAGCCCTGAAG